TATATATATTCATTCAAGTTAGGGCTCGAGAAGTGCGAGATTAAGTTGCACAGTACGCGTAATGGAATATTGGGACGAGTTTTGAGTTTTCTGTCTTATCTCACGATAGGAATGGGAATAATTTTAATACGTCTGATTCTTGCTATGCTGAAATGGCCCGAACTCATACTTATCAGTAGTTTGTGTCATTTAATAGCTGCCGGACAGATTGGAAATCATTAATACTGTTCAGTACATAGAAAACTTTGACTATATCGCGAACATCTCTTGAAAAGAGTTGAAATTGAAATCTACGCACTTTTGCGCAAAATGTAGGAAACAGCTAGACAGTAAAATATTGGGATACTACATTGTGTAAAACTAATAAAGGTGTTCGAATTGGAGGACAGGTTGAAGTATTAGAATATTTAAACACAGTTGTGCTGCGTATTCGGCTTGGTTATCATTAAAATTTATCCACTATTCAAGATAACTTTGAAAGGTGACCAGTGAGGTCGCCAAAGGTGCCTGGTTCTTTTAAATAATTCTTAATGCAGGGACACTCTAGTGTTTCACTCATTCCATTAACATGTTACTTTTATATTTGAGTTTATTTTGATTAAAATATTCTCGTGTTTAAAAAGTATTAAAAAAATTATTTATTAGATCGTTATCTAAATTTTCCTTACTAAGAAAAGCCTTATTTGCATTTTAAAATATATATTATTAATGCTTTACAATAGTTATATCAATAAAAATATATTTAGTAAGATCTTACACAAGGGTGTAAGGAAAATTTAATGATATAACTTTTCACATCTAATAAAGTACGATGGAAAAAAATATCATCGAAAAATCAAATATTTCCTGTTAACTTATGGCGGTAAAATGCACAACACTGAACTTTTGTAAAAATACATAATTAGATGAAACATGCACAACAATGAAAAACACATATTAGTTCTAAAAAGTTATCCGAACATAAGATTTGTTTCTTCTTTATGGTCAGATTTTGTACACTATTATTTCAAAGTCCTTTTACTCGACAAAGTCAACAACTTTACAAAGTCAAAATTATTTTTATTAACGTCAATTATTATTTCAACTTTTAGGATATTCATACTCGCTTAACCCACTGGCGATTTAGAAAATGGGCATAATTGGGCTCGAATGTTACTCCCCTATACACTATTCCCCTATCTATTAGCATGGATAAACCTGTTTTGCTATGCCGAGAAGAATACAGATTAAAATACGACATTTTACATGGAGAACTATCAGTGGGTTAATACTTTTATTAAGCTACTAATTTTAAAATTTAACATAAATGCATTAAAAGTTTAAGTTTAAATGTCAATTTCTTATTTCATTATAACCAAATAATTATGATCTTATTTTACGCCAAAATATTAATATTCAACTTATTACAAAATATCGAAAAGACCAGTACGAAGTCACAACATACAATCCAGAGCAATATAAGAAATTCATAGCGTTATTTAAAAACAGAAATTTTAATTCCTTAGGGGAGAACTAGTACAGTATGGTTTTAATATCAACATTTTAAGTATTGCAAAGATTCATGCTCGTTAAAAGTTATTAATTTTAAAATACAATTTTTTAAATTTGACATTCATGTACTAGATTCGTAAAGTGGAATTTTGAAAAGGAAGTTGTCGTTGTTATTTTTTATTTTAAGGTTCAATGTCAATTTCTTTTATTTTTATTATATCTGATTCGTTAGAATATTGTCCCAAATTAAAAAAAAAATAATTAAAACAACGAAATGTTTCAATTTAAAGGCTTATTTTAATACATGGCTATTTCTTGTTCATCATAGATCTAAGCAATATGCTATAATTTAAAATTATTGTTTATATGCAGAGAATGTCCGATTTTTTAAATTATTAATTTTTTTGAACGTGATGATTTCAAAATTGAAAGTTAACTATTAATTTTTTTAAAAATAACGTATTTTTTTATTGTGTATTTTCTGAAACCTTAATTTTACATTCAATTTAATATTTTTTTAGGATAGCGTTTTTTATTTTATTTTGATGTCGTGAATTTAGACATGCATATCTTATATGTTAATCTAATTGTTTGGTGAACAAAAATTTTTATTTCCTTTATATCATTTTATTATGATATTTCTTTTTTCAAAATGATTATGTTATTATTTTTTAATTCTAAATATGCAACATATACAGGCGAAATTAATTTCTTTACAAATTATTTACAGTAATTTTTAATTTTAATATAACAGATAAAGTATAAAATTTTTGCACCAACCATTTAAATATGTGGACTATAGCAGTATTTGCATGCAAAAGCAAGTGATTATCAATTAACATACCTGTGACTGCAGCAGCTGTGCTAGCAATTCCAAAGGCAAAAATTATTAACATATTGACTGAAAACCACATTGTTAGAGAAGTGTTATATATAATTCACAAATTTAATTTAAATTAAGTTTTTTCAAAAAATTTTCGAGTAAAGTTTTTTTTAATTTTAGTCAGTAAAAAGTTTGGAAAACTGGAACAAAAGTATGACTTTCCAAAAAAAGAATTTTTGTTTTATTTTATATAGTACGTTCACCAAAAACTTCCTATGCAATTTACATTAATGCATGCCAAAAATCATTTAAAGATTTATTATCCTGTCTTTAGAATATTCTGTAAGCACCATAGACTTTTTCTTTAAAATAACCACTGGAAGAAACTGAAATGAAATAGGTCGTCCGAATTCTGACAGAGCACTGCCGGTTTAGTTACACACTGGGACTCTTTTCATGTGTACTGACGTCTGAAGAAGGGTTATCCCCAATCAAAGCGACCAATCGCCAAGTGCTCGCCAACAAACGCCACAATCGATGTGTTCTTTTCTGTGGCAAATTCATCAGTACTGAGAATTCTTCTTCGCATTTAAATTCCTCGCAAGATGACCTACATATTTTGAGTTTAATTGCAAAATTTAAATACATGTTTTATTATGAAATATTCTTTTCTTATTCTAATCGTGCTTTCAGTCTAACATAAAATCATTAAGGAATAAAATAATATGAGGAAAAATCTTTCGTGGAGAAATCGAGATAAATTAATGCACTTAAATAATACAGTGCTACTAACATATTTGATATGGCTGAATCTTTCTTTTTTTTTTGCACAAAATAAAAATTCAATGATTAATGTCTTTTTATTGTTCAGTCTTAAGACTTTGAGCACTTTCTGACGTACAAAAAAAACCTAAAATTAATTAAGAAATTAAAAAAAAAAGTATGATAGAAAGATAAAAATAGGAAACAAATACGAAGGATGTGTTTGTTTTAATTACATTTATGGTTTAAAAAGATGTTACTAAGGTATACTAAATGACTTAAAGTCAACGGTACTTAAAATAAATAAAAGTAAGCTACATACTGAAAAGGAAAATTTAGGCAGAAATGATACTAAGTTATTTAGAAGAATCGTAAAAAATCGTCGTACTATTATTGAAGCCAATGATTCTTAACTAATTTTGACAATGGGAACAACAATTATGATTGTAATTGGTACAGATTTAAAAGGTACCAAAAAAACCACTATATGTAAAATGTATTATATTAGTTGGTACCTATTGAAATTTCAAAAATATAGGATAATTTTAGTACAGATATTGTGGAAAAAATTCCTCTGGCTCCTCGAAAGGGCGTAGAAAATCTTGATTGTGGTAAATTTTGACTATCATGAGTTATCCCAGAGCAACGGCATCACGCCAAATAATACTGAATACACTGTGAGAAAATTCCGTCTGGAAATTGCGGTAAAATAACAAGCCACAGTCGGACTATCTGATTAACCATAAAGTTTATGAATAGAAACATTTTTTACCGTCACTGTTTTGGAAACGTATACAACTTGAACGGTTAAACAAACGTGAATAAAAAACTATATGGTTGTGTAACCATTTACAACTAGCATAGACTGATAATAGCATAGCATATATAATCATAAAAATAAAACTTAAAGGAAAGTTGGAACTCTGCTCTGTGAGTTATGGGTATTTATGCATGAATAGTAGTTTCTTATTCTAGTTGTCCGGGGTGACTTATTGAAGAGTGTACATTCCATGTATTAAAGGGAAGTATAATAAGGATAATTGGTGGAGCTTTGTAATTTGTGTTGGAATCTTTCAGTCTGTGCCTGATAATGTAGATTTTTTTTTTGTATTGGCGTATTGATCATTTTTCTTTTTTCATACATTTTAGCATAAAAAAAAAGTTAAATATTTTCAAAAAATTCATTCTTTGATACAAATTGTTTTGAATTTAGATACGTCATAAGCAATCATTGGAGTAAAATTAGCATGCATTTTGATATTCTTAGAAGACCCACCAATGATGATAAAGTTTTAATAAATTGGCCCCCCATTCGGAGAAGAAGTATTTAATGGGTAAGAAGATGTATGATTTTAAGAAGAAGTATACAATGATTGGAAAATATGGTTATCATAAATGATACAATAATGATAAAAACAGTTCATTGTTAAAGGAATTTTAAAGTTATTTTAAGGTATACGGCAAAGCATATAGATTTTGTATTCAAGAAAACTAGCAAAAAAAATTCGGAAAAGGATTAAAAAACGTTTTTTAGGAGTGTAACTGCTTAATAGTCATTTCAAAGACATTTTCATAAATATATTTCCTTCATATTTTCTTCGTAAAAAACAAATAACTAGATTGGTTACTTTTAAAAAATATTTTTAAAAAATTAGCATGTAATTTTTAAAAAAATATTTTTTTGCTTACTGTCAGAGAAGTTTTCCTTTTTTTTCATTTTAAGCGAAAACATTGTATAAACAATTGAAAAACTCCGAAAAAATTTTCAACACCTTTCAAAAACGATATTTCCAAAAATGAAACTTTAATTACTTTCCAATTATTTTTTCCTAATTATTTAATCTTTAATTAAAAGGGAATAAAATGTTTTTCTTTAAAAAATATGCGATTCACTTGAAATAACCATTATCATACTTTAATTAAATTGGATTGATTTGTGTGTTTTTGCAACTCAACATAGATTTTTCTTTAATTTAATATTTATTTTTTTTCCAAAGTATGTTTTATTTGAAATGTGGGTTTTTTCTTTTCTTAGATTTTTATTACTAACACAAAACTTTTTTTGTGATTAAAACATGGATGATTTGAATAGAAAATCAATATGACAAGTGCTTTAAGAAATATAGAACTTAAACATTTTATAAATAACAATTACGTGAGGCGGAAAAACATTAATGAGATTTCAGAAAGTGTAGGGACAATAAAATACGTGATAATCATGTGTTTTCATAATCATATCTTTTTGCTGTAATGTGGGTACTTTAGCCTTGTCTCATATAAGTTGAATGTTTATAAAAGTGTATTTCACAATTTTACAAAATCGTTTCCTATTCACTTAGAAAAAGTTTAAATTGCTCTGCTTGTACATCTTTCTGCACTTGAAGTTCCATTTCAGAGCCTAAAAAATGTGCCTGAATTCAGTGCCTAAAAACCTAAAAAAATACAAGTGATTCTGTTTGCTTTCAAAACTTCTTTCTTCTCTCTTCGTTTCATTGTCTATTACAACAAGTGACTCAAGACAAAATAATGCACTTGTGTTAAAGCTATCCTAGTGTTACAATGAAAGGAAATCTTCTAGTGTGCAAAAGTGTGACACATTAGAACTCTACTTGAATGAAATTCTGGATAATTTATCTGATCTGTCATCTTCAGGACAATTTATGCAGGTCTTCCGTAATCCTTCCTGACATGAATGATAGATGAGATAAATGGCCCACTTAATTAATCAATTATGCAGGGTCCTCTCTGTGGCGAAACCCCTTTTCAAAGTCTTATGGTAATGAGTTTCCCATATAAATAGCACATTTTGTAGCATCACAAAATGAAGTGTTTGTATTAAATTGAATACAACTTTAAAGGCTTATTAAAATTGTCCGCATTGTCTTTTAGTGGGTTGCTACAAGTGTGATTCTGAAGGATAGCCGTAAAAGTTTATACTCTTTGCGGAAAAGATTTCAATTGAGTGAAAAGATTCTCAAAAGGGAACGAGATTAAAATTTATTTTAACGTTGATGAGACACTTTTTAGTTATTTTATTTCAAAGAATTTAAATGCTACTTAAGAGCCGTGATGAATCAGGGAATAAAGTGTTCGCCTTCCAGTGAGGTGCACCAGGTTCGAATCCCAGTGATGGTTGGTCGATACAAATTCCACATCCGCACAGACCACATTGATGACGTGAAATATCCTCAGTGGTAGACGGATCATGGGCTAGAGTACCCTTGCCGTCAGGATAACCATGGGAGGTTCTCATTGTTTTCCTGTCCATATAACGCCGATGGGGGTTAGTTCCATCATAAATTACTCCACGTAGGTAAATTTCTTCCAATACTTGATGCAGGAGTTACCTTGTCTTCTGGATTAAGTCCAAAACTACAAAGCTGCGTAGTTAAATATTAGTAGTCGTAAACCTAAAAAATTGATTGGTTCTCCAACTGCCGTTATGAAATAAAATAAAAATGCTACTTAAACAAGAAACATAAAAATAGTAACAGGATAACCTGAAATTAACAAGCTAATGGATGATAATCAATTTAAAAGATGTAAAATAAAAAAAACAGTACCGCTTGCTTAACAAAATTTTAATCCAATCGAATTTTATAATTATTTGCCGTGTTTATCAAAAGACAGTGCTGTTGTTTGGACTAATCAACAAATTGTAAATAATGCGGGAAGTTAAAGTGAGGAAGAATTCTAGTTTTTAAGTTAATGGTCATTCTTTGTTAATGGGTTTTAGAAATCATTTATCTTTTTGGGACACACGCTTAAAGTTAATCAGTGTTAACCTTTTGACAGAGGAGTAACTTTAGAAAATAAGTACAAAAACTTTCCATCAGAGCAGTATATTTTTTTTTTTTTTTTTNTTTTTTTTTTTTTTTTTTTTTGGAATGGTGGAAATCAAGGGTTTGTTTTGTTGAAATCAATGTAAAAAAGTTCGAAAGAGATGCTGTTATGCATAGATAAGATAAGTGTAGTTTCATTGATTAATATTTTCCACCAGTTAAAAATTTAAAATGTTAAAGAAAAAAGTGCTACTCTGCTTAATTTTAGAAATATTATAAGCTCGACAGAGGAAAGTTAGCTTTGTTTAAAAGTAGTTTATCGATATTATACAGAAAAAATTGAAACGTCGGGATAGCTTGGTTGGTAGGACGTTGGGACCATGTTCAACAGGTCGTGAGTACAATCACAAGCAGCCGAAGACTCCCCGTGTATTAAATGGAGACTGGTGTATGTTAAATCTGTCGGGTCACAAGGTCATCCTTGTTTCCATAACAATCTATACCTCTGTTGCTACTGAATTGGAGATTGATCGTTCTCTGGATCCAGTCAAAATTACTTTCTGTGGCAAAATTAATGAATGTATGAATGGGTCTGTCCTATAATGATGATAAGTCATATTCCTGCTCATAGATGGCACCACTGAAAAGAAGAAACGCACTCTCTCCCTTAAATTCACTTGGTTTCACCAAGAAGGTTTGCTGATGTAGGCAAGTGGCACTTAAAACAGCAACAACACAGTAGAAACAATAAAATTTCAAAAAAAAATTAAAAACAGTAAAAGCGGAAATTATCTTTAACTTACAATGGCCAGTTCAAAAGTGGCAAATTTATGTCAAATAAAAGAGCCAATTTTTGAACTATTTTTTCCAACACATGTGAAGTTTCATTATTTTCATAATTAAAG